GTTTAGGGTTTACTACCAGCCCTTCGGGTACAACCTCCCCTAAAGGTTCCCACTTCCTTGGAATTTAGGATGGTTCAGGCTGATTAGGGCTCATTAGGGGAGGGATAGGGGGATGGCAGGGGAACCCATGCAGCATGTCTTCAGGGATGGCACAAAAAAATCTCCTCATCATAAACTCTAAATCCTAAACCGGCTTNNGGGTTTAGGATTTAGGGTTAGGTAGGCTCCCTAAGCTTGCAGAAAGTTACATCCCGTAAGGTGCTTGTACTTGCAGAAATGGGGGTTTCCAGAGGTCAGAGGAAAAGGGACTTTTACTTGCTGGGGTCTGTATGGGGAACCTTTATTCATGGAGCCTTGCATCCTAAATCCTCAGCCGTGAACGCTAAATCCTAAGCCCCGCCCTAAACCCAGCACTTCGCTGCCAGTCTGTGAGACTCGCCAGAGCACCTGCTGCTGCCGCTGCTCCTGCTGCAGGGCCTCTCAGCAAGTGTTGCTTTTAGCTTACGAGTGCTCAGTAGGGAATAGGGGAATATGAGCCTCATATAACCTCATATATATATATATATTATTCCCATGTTCCCTACTGCACCCCAGTCACTTGGCTTCAAGCTTGGTTTGATCATTGTCACGGATACAAGGTATGATGCATGGCCGATGAAACCCCACAGCCCGGGAGGAACAAAGAAAAAGGCGCAGCTTGAAAAGAGACTCGCCAACATTTCAACACGGGACTTAGTAAGTAGGTTAATAGCCCATATAAGTCGTATAGTAACCCTAGTTATCCCCCTTATTACCCTACTTACTAAGTCCCCCTGACCCTCCAAGCACAACCAGCCTTCAGAAAGATGTAGTAGTTAATCCTACGCCCGGATGTCGTCTAACTCTGGACTCTTGATCCCTTAGCCCCGAGCGGCCGCATCAAACAGAATCTACCCAACCTCAGGTTTTGGGAAGAGTTTAGAATTTAGGGTTTAGAATTTAGGGTTTAGGGTAAGCAAACCTCCAAATCCCGAACTTGGGAGCTCGCCTGAGAAATGGAAAGCCACAGAAAATGGAGTCCATATGGCAGTTTCTTCTCACAACTCTAGACATCCCGGAGAGGGACCCCTGAAATTATAGTCCAGTAGATAGAATATGGGGTATATGGGGATCTTATTATAATATACCCAAAGCCATATTCTATTTACTTAAGGGGAACTATATCCTACAACTCCTTTCTGGTAGTGTTCCATACAAAGGGGGTCCCTCAATACATCCTAATGCACTACAGTCACTAATAGTCGTTCTTATAGGGACCCCGAAAATGGCCCCCAATGCCTGGAAGCCCTAAACCCGATAAATCTCTATGTATCCCTCTACATCTTTCCCTTATAGGGGCTTATATATCTCCCTGGCGTTCCTTAGGTCCCACCCAAAAAGGCCTTGCTGTTGATCTCGGCCTCACGACACTCCTTTGTGGCCTGTCCATCGGGATGCGTAGCTTCTCAAAACAGGGTAGGGTTTAGGGTCTAGAGCTTAGGGTAGGGGTAGGGTTTAGGGCACCCCCACAAAAACCCTAGAGCCATAGAGATGGATTCTAGGGATCTCTCATGACTGCAAACTTTGCCGCGGATCGAACACCCAGGCAACCTTCAATCCAGCTGCGGAACCACCACCAAGTGGGCCATGCTCGAGGTCTCGTCTTATCACTAACAAATGGTGACAAAGTCCCTTCAGGCAAAGCAAGATTTTGGGACTCCCCCCAAAGTCAGTCCTCTTGAAGAGATGCCGCTCTTTGCGATAAGAGCTCCTTGCGTGGGAGGCCCAGCTTACACGATGATGTAATGAACTTCGTAATGAATCGGGGATGTAGCGAAAGATAAGCTTCCATGTATTCGAGTCCGCATATCAGCCTCCAAGCATGTTGCAGCCTCGTGCCCCACTATAGACAGCGCCTCGATAGGAGACCTTAAGGGCGCCACGGGCAGCATAAGGAGCCCTGACCTCCTCTCAGCACCCTAGCGAATAAATCTCTTGTTGAACAACCCGAACGTTTGGACACACTATTGGGGGAAGGGCGTCGTCATCATCATAGCAGCATCAGCGGCAGCAGCAACATCCTGATGATCCAAAACCACGATCTCGCAATCACGACCATTAGCATCATAGCTGATGATACTGTACAATGGTATGATCATGAGCGGACTTGCCGCTATCCGACACTATCCCATTTGCTGGTGCATGACTGCTTTTACTTCCTGGGCATTGTGCCTGTGAATCCAAACTGCTAAACCCTGAATCCGGCCATGTTGACAACCATGTAGAGCCCCCTGAGTTTCTGGTTTGCCACTGAACCTTACTCAGCCAAGCACTGTCATGACGGCTATGAACCACAGACATTTTTTGTCCTTGCTGTTGAGGTAGTCTGAGGGTACCTCAAAAAAGCCTGGACACCTGCTAGGCTCAGCCTGGGGTCATCTGTCAAGCCTCCTTTTCCCAAAAAAACTGAACCCCAAACCCTAGGCTCTTCGAACCCCAAACCTTAAGCCCCTAAACCCTAAACCCCTAAACCCTAAATTCTGTTATTACTTCAGTATCTCGTGCAGGGTCCTTGAGAAGTTGGGTCTTCCTGCGCTCGGAATCCTGACGGCAAGCGCGTGAGAGTTTACAGCCTGCTCCAACCCCCCGTCACTCCTAAAAGAGGGGCTATTTAGGGGATTATATAAGGGACTACGATAGGGATTCTTTCGGAAGGCTGATTTTGCTTGGAGGGTCAGGGGGACTTAGTAAGTAGGTTAATGGGGAGAACTAGGGTTACCATATGGGCCATTGGGGGTATTAACCTACTTACCAAGTCCCCCTGACCCTCCAAGTAGTAACACATGTTCCTGATGTAGGACCAGTAAAGACTGGGGGAAAATCGGCTGTCCGTGGTGTGGGAGGTCTTACTATTTCAGGGAGGTGATTGTCAAAAGTATTTCCCCTCCTTGCAGGGTCAGGCTTCTTGTTGCATCCGTTAACTCTGAATAAAAGAGCCGTGTGGGGAAGACACCATTCACACAAAGGCTAGATGTGTTGGATCTCACGGAAATCACGCTAGTGCGCGGATTTCATGAAACGAATTCTCTAGTATTCACAGTGTAAGGAATTCAAGATTTGCCTCCTGCATCCTCTGCTTTTCATCATAGCATGGAATCTACCTGGGCGTGCGATGAGACCGAGGCCTTTTCCGAAACCAAGTTATCCACTCTCAATTGTAAAAGCCTAAGCCCTTCAAACCGCGATACCTTATCCCCCTACACCCTAAGCCATCACCCCCCACCTAGTGTATTTGAAGGGGTCCCATACCCCCTGTGCAAGTATGTTAATTAGCTGCCAAGTGGGCTATCGCACACGCCAAAAGGCATTCCTCCTGCTCAACCCTTTAACGCCAATCCTCAACCCTGCACCCCACAAGGGGGTCTAAACCAGCAGGGTCTAAACAACCAACCCTAAACCCCGAAAAGCTTCAGGACGAAAAGGTAAAAGCTCAGACGACAATCCATGCCCACCTGGAATAATGTACTTGAGTAGAGCTTTGGGGGTTGCGAAACACTAAAATGCAACTGGACAAATCCGCAACCTATGTAACACCTTTCTAAAGTACATTAAGTAAGGGGGTGGGTACCCGTAAGCCCCAATGCCATCAAGCTTACCCAGACTAACTCTCCAAAGAATGTGAAGCATTAACGTTGCTGAGGAGTGCGTAGCTGCTGGACCCTGAACCGGCGCGTACCCCAAAGCCTTCTTGGGGGTTCAAATTGGATGATAAATAACAGCCGGGTATAACCTACATATGACTGGGGTAACCTGTATAGGGCCAGATCTCTGGATAAAAGTTTTAGCCCAACTATAAGTGGTTTCTAAGTCTCATGAATCTCTGAGTAGAGCATCTACTCCCTGCCATGGACCCCTAAACACTAAGCCCTGACCCTAAAACTGAACCCAACCCGCGAGCCCCGGCCGTCAGCCCAAAACGGAACCCCTCAAGCCTTTTACCTCAAAACGGCTACATGGGAGCTGCCAGAAATGGAGGGCCCCTTAAATATACACCCAAACTAACTATAATCCTTGCCATTTGGGGGCCCCAACACGTCCTGACCCAAACCAAGGAAAAAATGTCCCGGACAAACAGTACGAGGGCCAATCAAACTGAACTCGAAAGTGAACAATTAATCGACCCTTCACTTGCCGTTTCGACATGGCTCGGCTATTGTCGTAGACTGTGAGTTTGCTGTTAGTCGTACCGCGCCGTATCCGTGGGCATTCCACAAAGAGAAGTAGCTAGATTGCAGCCTCCTGGTGAACGACAACATGACTCAAAATGTGAGCCGAGCCATACCAAATCTGCACTAGAACAGGCAACGCGGCACCTTCCAGACTCTGGTTGAACTCGTAGCCACACATCAATGTCTGCAGGTTAGCTGGCAATGTGACACCTTCCAGACTCTGGTTGAACCCGCCACCAAATGTCAAGTTCTGCAGGTGAGCTGGTAACGTGACACCTTCCAGACTCTGGTTGAAATTGTAGCCAAACGTCAAGTTCTGCAAGTTAGCTGGCCACGCGACACCTTCCAGACTCTGGTCGAACCCGCCACCAAATGTCAAGTTCTGCAGGTTAGTTGGCAACGTGACACCTTCCAGACTCTGGTTGAACGCCTGGCCAAATGTCAATGTCTGCAGGTTGGCTGGAAACGTCACACCTTCCAGACTTTGGTTGAACCCGCCACCAAATGTCAAGTTCTGCAAGTTAGCTGGCC